ATTCAGCAATTGTAATGTATACAAGAATATGTACAATAAATTCAAAACATTTGTGCTTTTAAAGCTGCATGCCTCCAGATGAAAGAAAGTCAAATTTGAGAAAAAAATGAACTCGAATTTTAAGTAAAGTAAAAAGATTCAAGATAAAAGTAATAATTTATATGTTATGTGCAATTAATGACTGATTTTTCAGTGTTTATCACTATATTTCTAATGCATGACTAACTCTGAGTAAGGGTATTTATTGCATATTTTGAACCTTTTTTGACAATTTACATGGATAGTTATTGCCATTTTCAATGTGTAAATTACTTTCTTTGTTAACTTCACAATATTTTACTTTAAAATACATTTTCAAAATTTTCACGAACATTTTCATGAATCTGGCATGCTGCTTTAAGGTAAAATACTTTATTCAACTAGACAGTCAACAATGATGGATTTGGGCATGGTGTCAAAAGATAATATCTTTTCTTTGTTAAAATCTGCTAAAGAATGTTTTCAAAGCAAGAGATTTTATTTTAAAGTATAAACCGAAACAGGAAAAGTTGTACAATATTACATGTCGTGTAGACACAACAGCCCTCAGGATATAGTGAAGATATTACATCAAATAATTACAACAATCAACCTTAAAGGAAAGTCCCTAATTGTGACAATGATTTGTGCAAATTGCCTATGTACGACAGCTGATTGTGTCCCCCTGGCACAATGCAATACCTGATGGTGATGATGTTTTAAACTGCATCTAATTGTGTTGTTTTATTTCATTAAACAAATGAAAACAATCATTATTATACCATATCTAAATTGACACTCAATAAATGCTGTCAGCTAATTTATAGTAATGATAGCTCCAAGGTTGCATCACCTACTTGTAAGCTTTGTTATTTAAAGGCCAATGCCCCAGAAAGGCGTTTATTTTTATTTCTCAAAAAGCTTTTTATTTTTAGTGCATTTTTATATTTTCAAAAAGGAAATTTATTATAAAATTATTGCATTATTGTATAACCATCTTTTTAATCTGTAGTTTTTTGGCAACAAAGTATACAGAGTTGTAGTGATTTAGTATTTTGTATGGAAGTCAAAATAATACTTTGTTTACATATTGCTACTTTTATGACAATTTTCTTCACATTCATCACTTTCTTTCTCATGTTACAAGCATCTTACATGCTCTGAATCATTATTTAAACTTTAAATAAAATCAACTACGCCTTTATCTAATTCTGTAAAAATTCATTTGTTTCCGAGGTATATTATGCCTTGAACATCAAGCTTTCTTGCCTGTTTCATTTTTTAAAAATTTTTTTTCAAAACTAACTCTGTGCACTAGCCGAGATTTTGCCACATAATTTTTTTCCCAGCAGATCAGAGATTTTACAGGCAGTATTATTCCTTTAATATTATCAAAGAAGGCAAAGATCAAATCAGTGATTTTACGAGTCCCAAAATCTAAAGACCTTATAAATATAGAATCAGAAAATCCGTCCAAATATCTTTTTAAAATAAAAATCCAACAAAAAATTTTAAAATCTAAATCAAATATCTTCACAATTAAAGTGCAAAATTTTCATAACAGTGACACGGCCATTCTTTGTAAGACTTGTGTATTACATATAGGTAAGCTTTTTCTTCTTCTTGATTTATGCGATATATTTCTTTCTCCTACCTGGTTAAATATATTTATCTACTCAATATAGGTAAATATCTTCAATAAATCGTGGGTAAACTTTTACTTTATTTACAAAACCAATAATATTTAGCACCTTTTCCATATTAACATATTTATAAACTATCACATTTATAATACACAATGACTGGAGCATATTCAAATATGTTTTTTAAAATACCATTACTGTGCCATATTCAAAACAGTTGAATAGTTTGTTTATTGAAATCAGTTTTGAACTAAATTTCCATTTCTTCCATTCAAAGTGTATGTTTTTTGCCTATTGTTACTCGAACAATGAACTGAAGTCTGTATGGTGCATTTATCTATATATAAAGCTAGATTTATATATTTAGCAAACAGTCCCTGTATAAATTAAAGGAACTCCACTGAGGTCCAAATGCCTAAAAACATAAAATTTGAATTTCTTAAAGATAGATCAAATGGAACACTTACCATAAAAGAGAAAGATGTGCCAAAGAGATAAGAAATATACCCAAAAATAATTTGAAAAACCGTATTTTTGTGCAATTCTTAGCCCGATTTGTGTGAAAAGTGTTGCAACCCTTTTCAATGTTTAGGTCACTTTTGAGAGTTAGAATAATTGTTCTGGAAAAAACTATCGCACCAAGCCAGCAACATTCTGAATTTTTCTGTTTTTTAGGGTTCTTTAGTGATTCCCATTGTCATTGTTTTAAAAGTCTGTGGCTGTATCAATTTTAGATGGCTGTTTGTGACCTAAAAATTCAGACAATATTCTATTTGTACTTTGAAAAACATTTCTGGCATTTCCATTAGTTTTACCCATGCTGGAAATTTCATCTGGCATGGGGGATGCCACATGAGTAGCTTGCTGTACAATGGAAAGCTTATGATGACGTAATTTTACCAAAGCCTCGTTAACGCCCAATGGGCAGGTCCCCTTAGGACCGATATTCTGATCCAAACCGTTACACATGAAAGATATTATTATTCACATTCACATAAATGCATGAGCTCACAAAATAGTAACAACTTTATGTACACATTAAAAATACTAATATTTCCAGTCAAATTATAATATTATATAGTAAGGATGGGGGTAGCAAAATATTATCTTAATGAATGATATAACGGCCAGACAATGTAAACAGAGAAATTGCGGCCCTATTTTTACCCTATCAGGTGCTTATTTACATATTTATTCCGTTAATAAGCCCTCTATTTACACTTTGACATAACACCCTTATGGTCACTGTTATAATATTCAATCTTAGCTAAGTAACAATAAAATTTCAGTCGAAATGTAAATAATTGTGTCTCGGAGTGGAGGACTATCCTAGATACTTTAATTTTGATTTTCATTCTTTTTTTCTTTTTTTTTGATGAAATTATTATACTTTAACTTAACCCTTAACCTGCTGAATTTCTAAAATGGACTTGTCCAGCTACCATTTATGGGACAGTCCATTATCAATTTTGGGGATTTTGAAGTTGGTAAGAAATCAGCATAAAACCTGCTCAGACTGCATTGAAGTGCAAGCTGACCTACTGTTGGCAAAAGGCTAATCATTTTTGTTTCTTCAAACCACTTGTCCCTCACTGCTGTGGGTTCGAATCCCTGACAGGGACTTTGGAATTCTTTCATGTAAGGAAGCTATCCTGCAGCTAGCTTACGAAACATCAATATTTCTAATCAGGTGTCCATTCATGCTTCAAATAACACACAGAAAGGCACCTGATGTCTTCCTCCACAAGTAAAGCTGCAGGGTCCCCATATATTGTGTAGGTGCAGTGTAAAACCATATGTATATCCAGCAGATTAAGAGTTTACACAATGGCTTTACTTTATGGATGTGACTTTTGCTCTGTATAGTAATTTCTCTATGTATTTTTCTTATTTAAATAAAACAAATAAAATCGAAAATGTTTTTTTTTTAGCCAGAGTGCAATTTGTCATAACTATGACATAAAACACATGTACGGTACTTCTAATGCAGAATTCATATAAATTATGAATAAAAATAAATGACTCTTTAAAAATTCTTAAAGGAAAACTGATTATATCATTTGGATCTCTTTCTCCAATCTAACAGTTATAAATTTAGAAACAACTCTGGAAACAATTAACCCCTCGAAACACTGGAGGTTGATAGAGGCATAACTTTAGATTTAAATAGCAGAAAAAAAAGTTAACTTAAAATGTCCCCAATTTTACAATGACAAAGCTAAATTCAAGTAAAATCATTTTCAATTGATGTCGGGAAATTATCTTAAAAAGGTGAAAATAAACTTGACCGGTGGCCACTCAATATCTATAACAAGAGCAATGTTTGACAACAAAAGTAATCTTAAAACGCCCAGGTCTACTTCACAATAGGAATGTTTTCTTTTTTCCTCGTTGAATAGAAAACAGCGGGAATTTTCACAGCTCCCTGTGTGTATTGTCAACATTGGACAAAATTGCTTTTATAAATATGTTTCAAATATCCTAGAGACCCCCCTAAACAACACTTAACAATAAAGAAATATTTATCACAACTTTACTGCCGATTTAATATAGCAAGCTTGGAAAAGTTGTCTTTCTTACATTGTTACAATAGGGCAGCAACAGTTGCCTCCCTTTTAATACAGTGGTATATAAGTATCAATTTAAATTTCCCATGTAGTTTTTAAATAACATTGAATTAAGAAACTAGGACGCTGCATAATTGACATTTAAACTATGTTGCTTCCCTTGAAATAAAGGATTCTACTGCTGATCGAAGACAGTTTGAAGTTCTTGGGCAGATACAGTTCAAGAGATGTATTTAAAGGATCTTCAAAAACTTTAACATTGTTCACTTTTTGCTAAAACAATGGAGTCTTTTTTTACAAATGAACAGGAACAAATCAACTGTCAATTCCTTCGTTGTTTATCTTTTACACATCTTTTGTAAATGTCTTAAAGCAGCATGTCTCCAGATTCATGCTAATTTTCATGAACTCTTTCAAAATGTATTTTAAGTAAAGTAAAATATTGGGAAGTGACCAAAGACATAGTCACATTAATTTACACATTGCAAAAAGCACTTATAAACAATTGATGTAAATCACCACAGAGGTTAAAATATTTATGCAAAATAGCCCTAGTAACGCTGTAGATATATGGGGATAAATACTTTAGAATCAGAAATTTAAGGCAAATAACATGCATATTATTACTTGAAAATCTTGAATCTTTTTACTTTTCTTAAAATCTTTGTACATTTTTCTCAAGTTTGATTTTTTTTAAAAATATTTTGGCTCATCTGGAGGCATGCAACTTTATAGAATCTGTCAAACATATTTAAATGGAAAAAAAACTTACCTTCACAATCTTCATCAGTAATCTTGATTTCTGGGAAGACAGATTTGAGAGAGGGGCGTGTCTTTGCTCTCAGGGATCCTGATTGGCCGAAAGAACTGTAGAGGGAGGGATCATAGCCACTGTCACTCTCATTGTCAGCTGAAACAAAAAGACAATAATTTTTTTTTAGAAAATAACAATCATATAAATAAATTGAAAAAAAATAGTCAAATACATTTAAATTACATAGAACAAATAATTTTAATTTTGTGGACCTAAAGGTTTGCTTATTGCTACTATTTCGTTGTTTTTTACCCAATGAATGAGCATTAAAGATTATCAATTATTTTACATACTGATGTTGGTGTAACTTATACCAAGATGTGTCTTCTTAAAAAGCTCTAAAACAATCAACATTTACTTGATTATAATAGAAATAAGTTATAACCTCTTCAATGACAGATCATATTACTTGTTTATTAATTTATTCATTGAAATGCTTTAAAAAAAACCCAAAAAAAAGCACTGAAATAAAGCTTTCATATAAGAGAATATAAGCAAAAATAAACATTTACTTATTGCCCTTATAAGCTTTTCAGCCATCAAACATTTGTAGGTTCCAGTTCAAATTGCATGTATAATGTAATATTACATTGTAGGTAAGCTTCTCATAACCAATTTTTTAAAAATATTTTCTAAAATTCAAAGTCCTATTTACATTAATATGTCTGAAATTATATTTTCTGCGGTCATAAGTTCTAAGATGCCAATATGAAAGTTATAAAACCATATGATAAAGCTTCTATGCCAGATGACCAGGTAACACCTCTAATCTGGATAAGGTAGAACAACCAAGCTTTGAAATAGGTTTCATGGAATTAAACAATCTGGTAAATCCTGTACAGTATGAAACAAAAAACCTGTGAACAGCGTTGATCAACTTTTACCATTAAACAAAACTACATAGATCTATCCCTTCAACATACTAACACACTAATGTCAGACAATAATTTATACATTTAATTTTATATCATATAAGTACCTTTTTTCTGCGGATTTAATAATCTGCCAAATCTTAAATTTTTGCTTATTCTTATTTTTGTGGTGTCAGTCAATTTGAAAGTACAATTTGAATAACTAAGCCAATAATTCAATTATGGCAATGTATTGTGGAATAACTTACTGCAGACAAATTCAGACATAATGACTAAAACATCTGCGTTTTTTAATTTTGCAGACAAATACTAACAAAACAGCTTAAAGTTGTGCGTATTTTAAAATCTGTGGTCTCTTTAGCAGAAATAAACTTCCAGAAGTGAAAAAGTACTTATACAGTAACATGCAATATCCTAATGATATCTAGTTAAAAAAGTAAATAAAACAAATTCACATGCTAATTCACCAATGGCTGACATATTCATCCGCGCCCTAATATCCTCACCCTTTAAACTATGGTGATCGGTAGCGTCCATTTTAAAGCTACAAGATATTTTTCCGTCCGTTCATAAAATGTTGCGGGAAACTTTTAAATCAATAAATTGCACTAGAGTCAAAATGTTTCTTGCTGTTTCAAACAACTGTTTTACGAAATATCAAGATTTATACATTTTCCTTGACATTTTGTACAATTTCGGCAGAAAATCTTGCGGTTTTGAAAGTTGCCCGTGACATTTTATGATAAACGATAAAATTTCTCGCAGGTTTAAAATGGCCGCAATCGGCCACCATACTAAACACTCTAACCCTACTGAAACTACCTTTGAAGAAGTTTAAACAAAACATAATACAATACCAATCTAGATGTTCAACAAAATCATAATGTTAAAGACAGTCACACATAAATTATGTGATAAGCATAAACGTGCAAAATAAAAGTTGAAGTTAGTTAAGATGTATTGGATGGAAATCTTAAAATATTTTCTGATGAAATCAAGCTGAAAATTGAAAGATATTTGAGCCGCGTCACGACAAAACCAACATAATGGGTTTGCCACCAGCATGGATCCAGACCAGCTGCACATCCACGCAGTCTAATCAGGATCCATGCTATTCGCTATCAGTTTATCTACTTGTTATACGGTTTGTAAGCGAACAGCATGGATCCTGATCAGACTGCGCAGGCTAGTCTGGATCCATGCTGGTCGCAAACGCATTACGTTGGTTTTGTCATGGCGCAGCTCATTCAAAGGTATCAAAAGTACAGACAGAACTTAGCGCTCAGTATACAGATAGGCTAAATCTCTTGGCATGAAGCAGCAATGCACAAAACTTGAATTACTTCGCTTTCCGCTATGGAAAGCACAAAATTCAGGTTTTTACAGAGTTTACCATAGAAAGGTCACTCTAAAAGGTTATTGATGTGTGTTCCACATTTTAAGCCAAGCAGATTTTAATATGGCTCCAAAGGTTACAGACAGGCTTCTTTTAAAATTTAAGCTATATGTTTCTTTGGTTTTTCAGCGCACCAACACAGTACAGGTCATATGGTTCCAAAACATGAAAAATGATTTTGGCTAACCTCTGGTGTTACAAACTTCAAAACAACACCAGGGATCAAAACCAACTCACCTGCTGGAGCTTAAAGACATCCATAGATTCCAGTAATTTTAACCCATTTAGTCCTTTCTTACCATCACACAGGGATAAATTAGTGGGTGCAATTCTTATGGCTCAGTCATTAAAGGCAACCCCTCTGCCACATGGGGCACCGATAAGAGATCTCAAAATTAATTTGACTAAAGACAATATGATTAAATGGTTATTATTATAATAAACACGACACAAATTAATAAAAAGACACATATACATTGATGGTGTAACACTTTCAACATGTGACAGGTGACTGGGTAAGGTTTTGGATGTGGGGAATGGGGTGGGGGAGGGCTACACAAATATTAGTTTATACAAAAATTTATTAAAAGTTCAATTGTGTAGGAAGCTATAAGCTTATAGTCACTTTCTCAAATCCATTCCTGGTACCAACCAGTACTCAGCAATGATTGTAAAGTTTCTTGCTGAAGGAAACATGATCTTGCTTAATGGGGTTTGAACCCAAGCGGCCAGCAATCCTTAGATTTCTAGTCTGACATGTTAAGCACTCAGTCATCTCATCATTTGATATATGTTTAATCTGTACAAAAGTTTTTGTACTTTTAAGCTTCAAACTCTTAAGCAAATTCTCTAACAAAACAAACAAAAGAACTTTTTGCAACAATACCATAAAGAGAGAGAGGAAACTAGGTAAAAAACAAGAGGGCCATGATGGCCCTGAGGTCGCTCACCTGTATATAGGCCCCCGGAGCTAGGCCAGTTTAAACCCAAGGGCTTTTATTTGAAAAAAATTGGAAGACACCCATTAGATGTTAAGTTTTTACTATATATATATAATGAAAAACAATGACCTCCCCCCCCCCCCTGGCAGGGCTAATTTTAACCCAAGGGCTTTTATTTGAACAAACTTGGTAGACACCTATAAGAAAATGTTTTATGCTTAACATCTAAGCTCTAGCTCATTGGGTTTTTTAAAAGAAGATTTTTAAGTTTTTAATATACACATATAGTTAAAAACAATGACAACCCTGGGGCGGGGCCAGTTTTGACTCCAGGGCTTTTATTTGAACAAACTTTGTAGACACTTAGTAGAAGATGTTTCATGCTTAATATCTAAACAGTAGCTATTTGGGTTTTTTCAAGAAGATTTTTAAGTTTTTGCTATACACATATAAGGAAAATCAATGACCCCAGGGCGGGGCCAATATTGACCCCAGGGCTTTTATTTGAACAAACTTGGTAGACACCCATTAGAACATGTTTCATGCTAAATATCTTAGCTCTAGCTCTTTGAGTTCTTTAAAAGAAGATTTTTTTAAGTTTTTACTATATGCATATAGGGAAAATCAATGACCCCCTGGGGCGGGGCCAATTTTGACCCCAGGGCTTTTATTTGAACAAACTTGGTAGACACTCATGAGAAGATGTTTCATGCTAAATATCTTAGCTCTAGCTCTTTGGGTTCTTTAAAAGAAGATTTTTTAAGTTTTACTATATACATATAGGGAAAATCAATGACCCCCTTGGGGCGGGGCCAATTTTGACCCCAGGGCTTTTATTTGAACAAACTTGGTAGACACTCATGAGAATATGTTTCATGCTTAATATCTTAGCTCTAGCTCTTTGGGTTCTTTAAGAGAAGATTTTTTAAGTTTTTACTATATGCATATAGGGAAAATCAATGACCCCCTGGGGCAGGGCCAATTTTGACCCCAGGGCTTTTATTTGAACAAACTTGGTAGACACTCATGAGAAGATGTTTCATGCTAAATATCTTTGCTCTAGCTCTTTGGGTTCTTTAAAAGAAGATTTTTTAAGTTTTTACTATATGCATATAGGGAAAATCAATGACCCCCTGGGGCGGGGCCAATTTTGACCCCAGGGCATTTATTTGAACAAACTTGGTAGACACTCACTAGAAGATGTTATATGCCAAATATCTAAGCTTTAGCTCTTTGGGTTTTTTAAAAGAAGATATTTAAAGTTTTTTCTTTCGGTTGCCATGGCAACCAGAGTTCTGCATGGAATTAAATTCTTTGAACAATTTTTAAAGGTGACCACCAAAGGAACATTCCTGTGAAGTTTGGATGAAATTGGCTTGGTGGTTTATGAGGAGATGTCATTTAAAGTAAAAGTTTACGGATGGACGCTGGACGGACGCCTGACGAAAAGCGATCACAAAAGCTCACCCTGTATATTTGTGACAGGTGAGCTAAAAAAGATGTGAGAAGGAAGAATAGTTAAAACTGTGGCTGAAGATTTCTTTATGTTATAGAACCTTGTGTAATGTCATCAAAATGTTCTTGTTCCTCCATAATTGCTTCATCGCCATCACTCCCTAGGTAGAAAAAGTTGTTAAAATTTATTTATACATTTTTACATGGTTATTTTCAAAATAGAATAGTAATGGCAACCAAGTTTGTTCATTAAAACCTTTCATTCAGGTTCTCATACAAAGAGCTGCAATATTCTGGAAAAATAAAATTAGTGACAAAAAAAAAACACTAGCATTGTCTAACAAGATAAAATAAGATTAACATATATTATATATGTGTATTACATATGTACATATTTTAGTTTGAATTCAATTATGTTATAAGCTTTTTATGTGAACCATTTATACTACAGTCACAATCATGGTTTCATGCTATTTCTGATAAAAACCTCTGAACATCAGCTTAATCATTCAAGCTCAGTTCCCAATTTGCAGATCATTTCTACAAAACATGACTTGTTAGTTTGTTTTTCTGATTTTAATGCCAATTTTAATACATGTTTTTGGTCATATCTCTTGCTTATCCCACTAGGCTTTCCAGTAATTACCAATTTTTCTGCAAGTTTTGTTTGTTTGTTTCATTTTACGCCTTTTCCCAACAGTATTTCAGTCATATAGGCGGGTAGTTTCCTAACCATCGTTCCTGGAGAGTTACACCAGTACTAGTCTACCTTCCTCCGCGCTAAACTACCAAAGCATCTCCCGGGGATCGAACCCACGCCAGAGAGGTAACTGGATTAGAAGTCATCGACTCTAACCCCTCAACCATGGAGGCGGTTACTAAATCCACATGATTTCTTTATCAGCGATAAGAGAGTCAATGTAAAAAATCAACTGTCACTGAGAAATTACACTGCCCCGAGGATCAAAACAGCGACCATTAGATTACTAATCTGATGCTTTCCCTATTGAGCCAAGCAGAAGGACAAACCATGACATTTTAATCAGAGGTACTGGCACAAAACTTATTAAGATTTCCAAATAAGAGTTCCACTGCTTATTAACAGGTGAGTCAGACTATGTGTGCCAATCAGGCTCCGTCTAAATTTTGTTTCACAGTTTAATTGACCCAAATTGCCTGTATCAATCTAATTAAAATGTAGAACATAAACATTACTTCACTGAAATTCAAACAACAAAAAAACTAACATACAAGTAATGTCTCACATTTATCTACACAATCTTTTAAAATTTCCCTGTGGCACAATTTTAACTAATGTCATGTCAGTTTACCCACAAGTTTTCTTTACCAAGTTTTTTCCTTTGTTCGCATAAATGATTATACCTTTAACTCTGAACCTCCTGAATTTTTGTAATGGATTTGCCCTGCTTTGAATTTGGAACAGTCCATTTTAAGTTTAAGGGATTTCAATATGAAATTATGTACAAAAATTGAGCTACCAACAGTATAAAGCCTGGTCAGACTACACGGATGCGCAGGCCGGCCTGGCTCTATACTGGTGGTAAAGGCTAATCACTACTAAAGTGACTCAGCTGAATCAGCTATATATTTTGAAAGAATGACTACTAGTATTAAAATGGTTATTAACCAAACCTTGATGCTGAAAACTGTTTTGGAATTGTCTAAAATATAAAATATAAAAAAAACTATTTAAAAGTAACTTTTTTATCACTAAAAATTATTACATGATAAATTCTAAAGGATATTGATAGAAATTTCAGTGTGTCATACAGGTTATTGTTTATTTTTTATGAAGTATAATACCTGTATGTAATCTTTATTTATTGCAAAATGTAAAATTATTTTTTTCCTACCTGCAAACTTAGATGTGCATAATGACACTTTAAAGCTGCATGCCTCCAGATGAGCCAAAATATTTCAAGAAAATCAATATTGAGAAAAATGCACTTACCCTTTTAAGAACGATAAAAACATACAAGATCCAAGTTATATTTTGCATGTTATGTGCAGTTGAAGACTGATTTTGCAGTATTTATCACCATATTTCTACTGTGTTTCTAAAGCAGTAAGGGCTATTTTTGCATATCTTGACCATTTTTTGTTAATATTCGTGGATTGTAAGTGCTGATTGCAATTTGAAAATTTCTTTATTTGTCTGTGACCTCATAATATTTAACTTTTCATAACATTTGCAAAAATTTCATCAAAAATTAATATGAATCTGTAGGCGTGCTACTTTAAGGCTTGAAACATACACTTATTTTTTTTAACCCTACAGAAGGAGAGAGAGCTGCTTTAAAGTTTATTACCACTGCTGGTAATGTTATTCAAGAAAACACGGTAATTAACAATCGTAATTTGTTTGTGTGTACATGTGCATTAAATCAGCGAACTTAATTATTTCCTCCTATTACATATTTCATTGTATAAGACATACATGTATACAATTAGTTCAATAAAAACAAATGTTGTAGAATAATGCATGGTTTGAGTTCAAATGCGCAGGATTAACCGAAGGCCGATAGACCTATATAAACAAGAGCTGTCAGAAGGACAGCGCGCTCGACTTTTTTAGTGCTTGCCTATAAAACAAAACTTTGACAGTTAAGGGCACACAAGACTTTAACTAGGAATTTCTAAGTACAAATCAAGAAACATTTTCACAGAGTTATCTTCTCTTGCTTACAGATAGGTCTCATGATGGCACATAAGAACTCCAACTTCCAAAGTAATATCTCAAATGGTTAAGTCAACAAGTGGACAAGAATGAAAATCTTAACTGAGTTTCTAAGTCAAAAAGGGCCATAATTCAAATAAAATCCTTAACAGAATTACCTTCTCCTGCTCATGTTTTGGGACCATGATGGTAAACAAGTATTCCAACTTTCAAATTAATATCTCAAACAGTTCAGTCAAAAAGTGGACTGGTACTAAAAACTTAACCAAGATTCTAAGTCGATAAAAGGCCTTAATTTTTAAAACAAATCCTTGACAGAGTTACCTTCTCTTGCGTACAGATGGGGGTAATGATGTGAAATAGCATTAAAAGTTTCAAAGCAATATCTCAAAGGGTTAAGGCAATAAGTGGATTTTACCCATATTCAATGTATTTTCTAAGTCAAAAAGGGGCATAATTCTGTCAAAAACCTTGACAGAGTTATGTCCTCTTGTCTGTTGATGAAGGTCGTGATGGTAAACAAGTATGGTCAGTTTCAAAGCAATACCTCCAATGGTTTTGAAATAAAGTGAGGTGGTACAAAAAACTTAACCAAGCTCAATACACTTTCTAAGTCAAAAAAGGGCCATAATTCTGTCAAAAACCTTGACAGAGTTATGTACTCTTGTCTGTAGATGGAGGTTATGATGGTGAACAAGTATGGTAAGTTTCAAAGCCATACTTGTAATACTTCTGAAATAAAGTGGGGTGGTACGAAAAACTTAACCAAGGTGTGACGCCGACGCCGACGCCGACGCCGGGGCGAGTAGGATAGCTCCCCTTTTCATAGAAAAGTCGAGCTAAAAATTAGAAAGCATTTGAACAATAAACCCTTCGTGCATTATTATACTATAATGCAAGAATATTTTGCATCTGTTTGATATGGGGATAATGAGAATAGCGTTAGAATGTTAAATATGCTCATACTTACACATTCTTCTGACCTGAACCTTCGCAAAGGTAGTCCACATTGTTCACAATATTATCTTAGTAGTAACTAGTCATCAATTCCATATATTAATATAAATATTCCCTTCAGATAAAGTAGCCATGTATTTTCACTTTAAATTCAAAACTTCCACTTTCACTATACAAGATTGAAGACTTAAGGTAACAAAATTTCATAAGAAAACATTCATTTCCTATTATATTCATCACAACTGTAAAGTATATCAGAATAATTATCTGTTCTGTTCTGTTGAATATATCAAGGTTATTAAATCACTTTATTTTGTTGAATTACTTCTGAATTTGGTGTATTTTTTACAAACAAGTCACACAAAACATGTTTATTTATATATATTCATTCATTTGAATAACAAAAGAAACAACAACAACAACATAGCTTAGCTTGAAGCTACCTGAATAAGTTGATGTTGTTTTTATTTATAATCAGTTTAAATAACACAGCTACCTTCTCAATATACGTACGATTGATTATTGATTTTATCTATTTAAAAGCCAAAATTCTTTTACCATAAAACTTCAATCCAGCTGTGTTAATATACATACATTTTAAACTTTCTTGTTGACTTTAAATCTTGTCATTAAAAGAAGCTGTTATGTTATTTTCAAATATTTGTTCATTTTTTTTTTCATTCTGTTAACAATATGAAATCAACCGAATGTTTCATATTGAATCAATTTGAAATGAATGCATTATCTTTCTAATACGATCAAGTATTGTAACGTAAAATAATTTTTTCCAAAACTGGCATCCTTTCTATAGATTTCTTTTAATTTCCTATTCAGAATTCATTCCATCGAGTATTGTAATTTAAAATCATTGTTTCAAAATGGTTATCCTTCCTTTACATTTGCTTTATTTCCTATTCAGAATTCAAATGTGCTTATCTTTTTCCATCCACATATGTATGTATTCTTGACAATTTTAATTCCATTTTCAATGAAAACAAAGTTTCCAACCAGAATTCTGATTACTTTTAATTGAATGTGCTTATTTCCAATCACATGTACGTATTCTTGGCGGTCAATGAAAACAAAGTTTCTCACCAGAATTCTGACAACTTCAAAACAAGGTTTGTCTATTACTTTTTAGATTAAATTCAATTTTTAAAATGTACTTGTTCTGTAATCCATTATATACGTCCTCCTCGCATCATCAATCAAATGATCTTTTCGAGACCCCTCTTTTACCTAAAACTGCCTAGCATATTTCTGATTAAATCATCAATTTTTCTTCAAATTTACTTTCTAAAATCATTTAAAGTCTTACATAATTCCCTAACCCTTCCTTTTGTTCAGACATATTCATTTCTATATTTCCCAAAATAAAATTGATCAATAATCACTATTTCACATCCCCTTTTAGTAAAAATTCATAATGTTGTGAATATAAACATAATCTCTTCAAATAATTACACTGTCAGTTGAATTCAAATACATCTTTAAAAGTTCCTAAAT